TCCCATGATGCAAATGTACATGTAAAATGTATTACATGTACATATACAGGTACATGTAATTTCCTTTCTGCACCAACATAAGTGTTCATAAGATATTGGAATGAATCTCACCATTAGAAACAAATATTCTCTAAAGTTCTGCATGCAAGCTTCATGCTCGATGAACTGCTGCAACTTCATTTTCAGTTCAAATGGGATACAAAATAATTGAGTCAATAAACTTACACTTTGCCTTCCAAATGAAAATTTATGTACTTGTACATGTACATTATGTAGGGCCTAAAGCTTATGAACTGAAAATCCATGTTCCTTTATTAACATTCATTATTACAAAATACCCAAACAAACAGTTTACATAGAAATGAAATACTTTATTCCCATGTCTAAAAATCAAGTCTTGAGATCACCCCAAGCTTCCAGCATTCAATAATGTTGATGATAACATACATACATGTACATGTACGTCATTTTGCCAAATCACCATTCACGAATGGTCATGCCTTTCTGTGAATAGTCAAGCCCCTGGGGCAGTCAACAGTGAGGTGAATAGCCAGGCCCCCTGGGGCAGTCAACAGTGAGGTGAATAGTCAGGCCCCAAGGGCAGTCAATGGTAAGGTGTAGTATTTTTAATCTTGCCGACCCCGCCAGCCATTCTGGATTTTTACTACCACACATCAGGAAATGAACAGGATATGGGCCAGTAAATCCAGCGAACGTGAAGGGGTCTTGCGCGTTGGTGATTTCTAAACTTAACTGGCCATTTGGACTTTTTATATGGACCACCACAAGGATCATTTTGAGAGTCCAATGATGACACACCTCTTGTGAATACTTAGATTTTATGCACATATTGAAACCCAAGCTTCTGCTTCTTGAAGTCTGAAAATTTATGACTCAAAGATATTTTCTGTTTATGATTCAAGTCCATGGGAATTTGGGGAAGGGCCAAGACCACAGTAAGCTTTGGAAACAATTTAAAGGGAAAAAAATGCCATATGAAAGGGGGAAATTTTTACAAAATTGCAGATACCGGTAAGTCCAATTGGAAATCACCAGAGAATTGATACATAAGTAAACTGTGTGATGATATGTACATGTACTGTATATTTACATTGTACATGTATACATGTACATGTACATGTGTTTGTGTATTGCTACCTGTACTTTCTGTTCACGACCCGTCCCTATCTCCTAAAGCCTACTTCAGGAACATCCGCATCGCGATGATTATTAAAACTGTGAGAAATTTGACAGGGTATTGTGTCAGTAAAACCAGCCTGGTAACAGTGGGCAAACACGACCTGACCGCTCAAGCAGCATGGCAGATGACTTACGCCACTGCGCCAAGATGTACATGTACATGTCAGACACATGCTGCCAATAACAAATGGAGATTCTGCTCCCCTCGCCTCCAAAAAATCTAGTAGGAAGGAACAGAAAACCCATGCAAAGGAATTAACAGGGAGTTGTAGTACATTGTTTCAGTTTCGGGGGGGGGGGAGGCATGGAAGAACAGGCCAATGGGAGCACAGCTTCACAATCATTCAAAGTCATAGTCTCAAACTACAGGAAACTGTCACATCCTAAGGGGACAAGAAGTACCAGTTGTTTGCTTCCACAGCACGCATCAAAGAAAATATGTCATGGTAAGACAGAAACAAAAACATGTTGGTACTGGGATATACATGTACCAGTCAGTTGCTTTCCCTTTAATTAAAATGCTTCCGAAGTGGCAAAAGTTGCTGTCCTGCTGGGCCATGAAGGTTTCCTAAATTACCACATACCGTTATAAAACCCAAAAAAATACAAATCAATCATTCCACTATCTTCCTGTTTTCTGTGGTACATGTACGTAGATGGTATTAAACCAACACTACCAAACTTATTGGTTTTACTCACCAGATGCACGAAATACTAAAGATTTGAAGGCAGCAATTTACTTTTCCTCTGAAGCCACAATAACCGGAACTTCTTCCGGCTGATTGGCTAGGTGCATTGATACGTGGAGGTGTGGGGGAAACTTGTCTTTACAAATTGTGCAGCATGCGTGGGATGGGTTTTGTAAGTCAGATGGCACAAAGTCAACTTCCTACATATAGAAAACCACTTCCATAGTTTGGGGGTTACAAATGCCTTTGTTCTTGAAGGACACGTCTGACCATAGGGACCACAAGCCAAGGGTTTATAAACATAGTCTAAATCTGTGGGTATTTTTGTAAAGTAGGGTATGTGGTATGTCCTTTTTCAAGTTCAGATCAACTGTAATTACTGAACAAATACTATACAACAAGATAAAAGCATGTCTGCTCCATGATAAATGTACATGTACATTGTACAAATGAATGTTTGAACAAATCAGTCTCTGCGCAACAAATTGGCAATCAGTTTAAATATGGCCTAGAGCGAGCGTCAATTCCATGTACATCTCCTGTATTTACTCTTATTTACATGTATAAGCATCGATTGCATTTCATCTTATTCTGGTGTAACATGTACATTGTAGATGAAATTGCCAAGTGAAATGCACAGATTCGAAAAATGCGCGCAGACATGGTACGCTTAATGAAAGGCACTTGCCTGTTATGTTACCGTTACACCCATACCTGTACACATGTACCGGTATGTTAGCCAAAATAAAAGGGTTTTGTACTGTACATGTACATTTAAACCTACAGTACATGTGTCATGAAACTTTCTGGAGAGACTGTACCCAGACTCATCTAAGATCTTTGCTCAGATAAACCCTGGTTCATCTTAGACTGGAACTGGGCAATTCGCCCTCCCCTCCTCCCCCATCCTGCATCATGTGTTGTAGAGTCTGTACTGTACATGTACGACTCAATACAAAAGCACAGATCAGAATATCACGTTCATATTGTCACCTAACAAAACATTTTGAATACTACCCTACCAGTAAGAACAAAACCACAGAAAAGCCCACGTACATGTACCGGCTGATACATGTACATGTACATGCACGACATGAGTGCGCATACCTACTGGTACACATACATACACCTGTACAATACATGTACGTTAAAAAACAAGTACGAGGTACATTTACATGTATGCCCAAGGCACATGTACATGTAGACCATACACACCTGAAAGTGCATGAAAATTCTGTGCATCACACTCACTCCAAACAACATTATGGATAATGTCTTTAATCCAATCAACATGCATCGGTATACATGTCAAAGAAAATGACTACATGCACGGGTATGTTCCGCATACAGGTAATGCGATAATGTCAGGGAATCATTTAGGCATGCACACATGAGTAAAGTACTGGGGGTACACTTAAGGATGGCATTTAAAACGTGTTGGATTCTGCTTCAAAAAAGACAAGCTACACAAATCAACCACTGAGCATGCTGGTACATACACGAACCTATGTATATATCAAAAGGAACATATACATGTATGTACCGGTACATACAGGTTTCTGCTTGAAATACATGTACATGTTCTGTACGTACACCGGCAACTTAACCAACAGGTGTAACTTCAAACTTTCTCGTCAATATACATGTATCACAGTTGCAATATTTGATTATACATGTTCCGGTACATGAAGCCAGCTGTTGGAGCAAAGGCACTATTGGCTTACACTGTACGTTACACTGTATGTACATGTACATGTACACTTTGTACACATGTACAAGTACATGTACATGAATGTAACGAGCTGCTCAACAATGACAGTATGCCACACTTGAAAGCTTGCACATGTACATGTACTCTAGTGTACATGTACTGTACATGTACTCTAGTGTACATGTACATGTGCACCCTGGTCTGGAATATTACACGTACTGGGTATGTACAGATACATGTACATGCATGACATGTACATGTACATGTAGGTCAGTGCAACTACATAGTGCCAGCAATGATAACACTGAGCTGCAGGATAATAGCAGGACCCTGAGGTATGCAAAGACGATTGCTTGGTTGTTATTCACTCAGGGTTAGTCAATGTACCCATCTAAATGTATGGTACATGTAAGCCCCACTGAGTCAATATACCAGTACATGTACCAGTCAGCATCAAAGCTTGTCCTCTTACCACACATGCATGGGTAAGAGCTAAATGTATTTAGCAAAGTACTACACTTGTTAAGATGCACCACAGGGCTGACATGTTTAACCCCATGTAGACTGTTTAAAAGTGTTGAGAACAAACTACATGTCAGGTACACGCTTTAACTGTAGTATGACAAATGACTTCAAATCGCAGATGAGTTGAAAAATAATTTGAATCCAAATATGTGTGGGGTATGACTCTGTTACACCCAAACTATCAGTACAGCTTTTAACTACACGTACATGTATGCTTAATAACACAACTCTTGTTGCTTCTGCATCCTGGTTGGCTAAAACACTGTCATGTGGGGTTTACAAATACAGGCTGGTGCATTAAATTTACCTGCGCGTAAACTAGACATGTGTCAAGACATTGAGTGTGCGTGATACCCGGAGTAGGGAGCCACTCAGGCAGTTTTTGACACCTACATGTACATGTAGCTTGCCCTCAAAGGTGTGATTGGTACACACTGTATATGAACTGGAATCGTCTGTGCCCCCTCCAGCCTATGAGTGACCAGAAGAGGGTCCTGTTTCCCTTGGTTACAGTCACTTAGGGCACATACCTACATGTAACATCAATCCATATGCTGGGCTGGGCAAACTATGGTACATATTACATGTACATGGTTACTATACCAGGCCTACATGTATTTGTCATTATAATTTAGCACTGACAACTCATGCTAGCAGCATCCAGTTTTTGTGTTAGTGACATGGATATAATTCCTGGTTGGCATGTTTTTGACAAATTCTGTCCATGTTGGCTGCCAAAACCTGTTGGAGGTTGAGTAATTTTGTACAGAAATTCACTATGTTCAGAACAGCCCAACAGCTGCAGTCAGCAGCAATACACCTGGGACAGATGCAACAGCTGGGGAACAGTACTATCAAAGATTGAGTTGTCTTACCAAGGGACTCCACAAGTTGGAGCATGACACCACCGATGTGGAGATCTCCTGTGACTCTAATCTGCTTCTCCAGCTCCAGGTTTGTCACATAAATGTTCAGCTCCCACGAGCCATCGGCATACTTGCCGTCCGGCAACTTGTACATGTGTGGATCCATCGTTGCACAGGTCAGCTAAACTTTACTTGTGGGACTGTCACTTTTCCAAGGAAGCACGAATACAATAATCCAGTTGATGTAACTGCGCTAATGAGTTGGGGCTCTCGCACGTTCACCTTGACAGGGCACCTGTCAGCTCTGGCTTTGAAGATTTCCAGAGACAGAATGGCTGGGCTGGCAACAGTAAAACCACTTTATGCGTTTAGCTTCAATCCTCTGATCTCAAACTTCCTGTGTGTGATGGGAGGTAAAAGAAAAGTGGAATTAAAACTTCACTTTGGGCCAGTGCTATTTTGGGGAACGAATCTGTCATTCCAGGAAGGATGTGAGTAGGGGAGGCAGGAAATGGAGGATTTTTTCCCCGCACTCTTTTCTTTTCACTGGAAATTATGCAAAATCCCCACTGAAAAAAAAAATTAAAAAATTCCCACAGGAAATGATGTCAAAAGTTAACCCAAACATCATTTTTACAAGTAAAAGATCTCCCCCACCCACCAGATTGAGAGTCAATAACAAGTGTTATTAAAGAGCGATTCATACTTCACAGAGAAATACAAGTGAAATTGAAGGCGTCTTGGACCCAAGACTAGTACAGTCCAGAATCCAAGTACTGGATCAATGCCTCATCCCATGGCGAAACATCAATCTAACTTGGGAGGATTAACTGTCATAGCTTAAACGTGGTTGAACACATGTCAGCATTGCCTAATGATGACATCAGTCAAAGGTGCAGTATGCTGATCATGATGGAAATGAGCATTTTTATCTCAACACACCCATGCAGCAATCCACCGTACAAAAAATACTATTGAAATATCAGATAATTAAAATCAATAACTTAATAGTTTCAATTTTTTTATTAGATTTTTTAAAAAGTTTTAAGGCCCTTAACTTAAGCGAAAGCCTTGGTGACTTTGATCTATCTACACATATTGGGCATCTCTTTATATTCTTGCCAAAAACATATAAACAATACAGCAAGTACTGGTGGCTATAAAACCCATCAGCCAATCACCCTTTCAAATTCGCACTCCGGACAGCAGATCATTTTGAAAAGAGGAAACAAACTGCATAGATTTCCGAGAGTACAAAATTACCCGGTCACGCAGATCGACCAATTGCACCCTAACCCTAGAATTCTGGGATTCCTTGTCCGCTGTGCTCCCACTATAGCACCCTTTACACACAGCCTGAGAATCGAAGGTTAAAAAAAAAACATGAAAGCAACACACAATATCTCAGAACAGGGAAGTGACCAGTGACTCCATCAAGGTGATGCTGACGATTTTTCTCAAGGCCTCAAAAATGTCAACAAAGATATTCATTACCTACTTGAACGTTCTAATGATATTCTGAAAAGAAAGTCCAATAGTTCATCCTAATAGCGGGAGTGTAGCCACCAAACCCCAAACAATCATACCACAACTGGTAAAGTGAAAGTATATATAATAGCCACCAACGATAATGCGTGCACACATTTACGGCACGGTGCATGCACAGTAACGCATGGCGCGTTTCATCATCATAGGTCTTGAAGTTGCAACCCTCTCTCATACGTGAGTTCACCCTAATTTTCCACTAAAGGCAGCCTTAAACGACTGAACACTCACCTGTCTTTGGACAGAACACATTGGTACAAAGCACTCAATGGAGGTACATGTATGTCCCTCGATCTTTCTTTCTCACACCGTGAAATAACCATCCACAATTGCCCAACATTACGGAAGTCCGCGAAGGCAAAGTAAAGTTAAACGCCAACTGCTGGCTAGGCGTTGTGCGTGTACATTCCACGCTCATTCCCTTGTAAATATAAAAAAACGTGTAGTTCGTGCATGACATGTGACGCACCCGGTGCAATCGTCGATTACCCAGGGGTACCAGGTGAGCAAAACCTCCATGGCAAAACGAACTGGAGTGCGGACTTTGCTGTCGATGCAGTATGATCTTTTCTCTTTTCGAAAACATAACTTATGTGGCTAAATACTACGATGCATATGATGATGCAAAAATTCTGTCTTTAAATTATTTTCCACAACTGAATGAACAATCTCAACCTTTGCAAATGTATGAAGCTTAATTTGTTGTCTCCTGAATTTGCCTTGAATTTTGCGAAAAATTAAAACCCCGGTTGAAAACGAGTGGAAAGAAAAGAAATATGGAAAGGCTGTGTAGCATTGCACCGTGATCAGAATATTATTGACAAGAATAAAAATAGAGTCGCCAATGGGGGGGGGGCTGTCTTTGTGCTTAAGAGGGCGCCCTATCACTTTTCATGTTTCAGTAAACTTCGCGAAATCGCTGAAGGAAAGTTGACTGGAATCCAGTAACTTTCAGCATCTCTAGATGATATATCTCTCGTCTGGGTTTTGTTTGTATTATTTTTTTAATACATTTTATAGTTGCTTTTCAAGGGGATCATGGTTTAATCCATTACACAATGCTTGTGGGCAGCCTTAGTCAAGGTTTAACAAAATTTAATGTGACAACTCATGAAGTTCACTCTTAAAAATTCAGTACCTCATTTGTGTATCCCAAATTGCTGGTATATTGCAATGTTTACTTTTTATAAAGCCTTCTTCAATTATTCTGGGCTGGATTGTTAAATAAAAAACATAAATGGTATCTAGGCATGGGGTGATTTTAACCTTATATGTACGAGGCTGGCAACTCAAGACTCACACCGTTTAGGTTATTCTCCTGCCGTCATGGGATATCTCAGGAAAATAAATGTGGCCCACATCCAATTTTATAGCCCCAGGTAATGATAATATTTAGCTCAAAATGGTCTGAAGTGGTCAGAAATCACCTCAGATTGAACCACCGTACATCTTAAATCCAAATAATGTGGGAGGGGAGTCCTTTAGCGGGCCCTGAGCCACATGCAATCACGGCTTTGCATTGGCATACTCAGGTCCACTGCCAAGTCTCAATATCATCATGCTTGAAGTTGGCAGTCTAGCCCATCCTCACTCCCAAATCCTTAAAGTGCTTACATATACACTGGCCCTTCCCACTGTGTGCCCTTGCAGAAAAAATTGACTCCTGTGCCGTGTCAAGATCACGGAAGACCATCACCACAAGAACACCTCCAATGCTCTTAAGCGCCCCCCCTTCAAGTTTTAGTCCAGTTAATGCAGACAATGGATGGGTGGGGAGCACTGTTTGGGGGGGGGAGTTCAGAAAGGGGAAACATAACTCGTCAGCAACAAACTGATGAACTATTGTCTAGGGAAAAGGGCATGGTTTTGAACTTTTTCAAATACCTTGGTAATTCTTATTCTCATTTCTTTTCGTATCAAATTTTCCTCTTTTTTGCTTAGCACACATTCTCTACGCTAAGCAACATTTATGTGCTCTGTGGAATTGGCCCCTTAAAGGGTCCATGCAATGACTTTTTCCTAGACACACTTTGCATCTTTATACTGGTACTCTTCTTCAGTAAATTGAAAAGTGCATGTCCAAGCTTTTCAGGACAACTGAGGGCGCTGTTGCTTTGGGGGAAGAAACTGTTCAGTTTACATTTTTTTTCACTTTCAAATTTCAACCCCCAAATTTCTGATTTGAAAACATTTTTGAAAAAAAAGTTGCTCACAGGCTTATTAACTGCCAAACAGTTATGCAACAATAAATAAAAAAAAAGGAATTCAGAAAAAAACAGAATATAAAGATTCCAGCACAATTCAGTGCAACATTGAGGCTCAGCGCCTGGGATGACATCACAATGTTACTCATGAATATGGAAATTGGTATTTTCATAAAAGCAAAAGAGGCTCCAAATACCTTTTAAAAGCGGGGGTGGGGACTTAGATCAATGAAAACACAAAGGAGGATATTTCTGGATTCTGCATGGACCCTACAAATACTTTAAAAAACACTGTAGTCACCTTCCCAAATTTTCCTTCAATACTTCAACTGAGAAATTAACTTTGGTTGATGAAACTAGGGCAAACAGATCCTTCACTTTCAAACAAAACATACTTACAGGTGTATTGAAAGAAAAGGCTAATATTTCATACTTCATATCAAGTACATGTATGTACACTTTATACAATCAAAGGAATGTGTTATGCTTCAAAATAAAAAAAAGAGAAAGCATGACTTGAAAGAAATCTTGCTTGATTTCTAGGAAACACCGATTCTTGCCAAATGAAAAAAAGAAGAAGCATGATCCAAATGATTTAACAGTCAAAATCTTTGATGAAATTTGCGTCATGATTCACAACACAGACAGCTAAGGTTAGCACACACCAGTATAGTTAACCTTTATATTCATTTTAACAAAAAGACCTTTTTCGAATTGCTAATGCTATCAACGTTACAAGCAACTTGGGCTGCAATTGTACAAAGATACAAGGACATGCACATGAGGAAATTAATATTGTTTTGAACACTTTTGACCAAATACTTCAGTGCCAATTCTCACAAAAGAGCTAGGGTTAAAGTCTGTTTATACATGTAAATAAATAACAAGTACTTCATCTGAGAAATGCATGATTTTGTAACGTGATTTCAACAGCAAATCTTGATAAAAGCAAACATTCACCATGCACGGCACGATAGTAAGGACTAGTATTTCTTTCTTCCACAAAAGATTCTTCCAACAACTTCATAACGGTAGGCAAATCGATGCAGAGAGCCGTTCTACCCCCTCCCCCAAATGTGAGCAAACTACTGCTTTGAAATGTTTTCTTGAATCAAACATTGGCAAGATTTCGTAAATTACGCAATTAAACAAAGACCAGAAATAAAAAAAGGAAATGATTACTTCCAGTTTTGTTGACATTTCAGTTTCCCTATAACTGTACAAAGTGATCAAACATGTATGTACAAATATACAGTGGCAATTTCAACATGCTCAAGCATGTATCTGAAGTGTACAGTAATGTTGTAGAAAATCAAGAGGTAATTACACATGCATACATGTACAGTACATGAAACAGGAGAGGGTGAAAGGCCTCAGTTTGTATTCATTTTAACTACTTTCTCCTAATATGAGTAGTACAAAAGTTACATTCTGTTGATTTATACAAGATTCACCCTTGCAATGCACAAAAATGTCCATTCTATACGGAGGCAAACAGTCGCAGTTTCATGAATATTTAAGTTTGAAGAGGAAAATACAGGTTTAAAAATCCAGTTTTTTTGTTTTGTTTTGTTTTGTTTTGTTTTTGAAAAACAGAATATGGCACAGAAACACACAATGTCAGTGAATGAAATATGTTGACAAATAACCCACATGTTCATGTAATGTATGTACCAAAAACGTTGCCATTGGTGTCAAAGTTTGGAATAGTGCATCAAACTGGCTTGGACTGCCAGGGTTAAAATGAAGACTTGATGAAATTTTAATGCCAAAAAAAAACTTCTGACCTTGAACTTAATGCCTGCATTGGAGAATGCCCCAACGACATTTTGAAGAAACTGTACAAGAGTACGTTTTTGTTAGCTCGCAGTTTAAATACTTGTAACAGTAACTCAGCATATGAATTTTGTTATAAGCATGCAATATTCGATGGTACACACTACCAGTACTTTGACAAAAGAAAAAACTTTACTGCACCAAAAAAAAAAGACCGCCCCAAAAAACCCACAATTGGATTTTACATACCCCGTTATCCATTTTGATCACAATTTCCATTAAAGTTATGAACTTGGCTGTCATTTTCTATCGGTAACTCCACGCTGTGACTATACGGTATTGAGACCGAGTCATTGACGTTATTCTCCAAGGTAAAATTATTCAAACCCTGATCAACCTCCATCCCATCTGTGCCATCGTTTGTAAGTGACAGCGTTGCTGGATCAAAGTCCTGAAGTGTTGTTAGGTCCTCCAAGTTTGGTGGATTCAAGTCCTCGATATTGATGTTCTGTTCCACGAGCAAGTGTGCTAGGTTTTCCTCTTCCAAAAGTTGCTGCAATAACTTTTCCTCTGGGTTCAAATAAGGAATAGTCCCTTCGGAGCCCGAGGTACCTTGACCAAAAGCTTGTGCGGGTGTGTTCTGTCCAAAGTCCGAAGTGGAAGCCATGTTGGTTAGGTCAGAGTTGGACTGCAGCTGGTATGCAAGCACTTGGTCGCTTATTTCTACTGTAACACCCTGGGTAGCGTCCACTGTAATGCCTTGGAAGGGCAGCACTGTGCCACAATTGGCCACCGAGTCCTGCGGCAGCGTTAAGGGCGCCCCCGTGGTGGCAGTGGCGGGTGTGCCTCGCTGGATCACCGTGCCAGAGGACAAGTTGGAGCTGTCACTGTAACTGAAGGTGGAGGAGTCCTTAGAGAACTTGGCGATTTTTGGGTTGCCTGAGGCTGCAGTGCGGACAGCGCGAGCAAATACTCTTGGCAGCTGTTCAACCTCCAAATCTGTGTTTAAAACTGAACCGAAATAAGGCTGAGTAAGTGTAAATGACTGAATATACCTTCCATCAAGTTCATGTATTTGAATAGTAAGTTTATCAAATTCCCACAAAAGCTGAACAAAATATGTATGTTTTGACAAAAAGGAAAACCTAAAGGAAAGTAGCCGTAATTTCTAGCCTTATTGTTATGCAGATGTGCATTCAGCTGTCTTTAAGTTTACATGTACTTGTGATAGTAGTTGAAATATGCTCTCAGACTGCTCTTTTGTAACCAAATAATTGAACCGTTCCCTTTATCACTCCCTGCACTTCCACCTCCGAAAATTCGATTCTGAAAATGACACTCAAATATTTGAAAAATCAATCCACTTCTGAATATTTGATTTTGAAAATAATATTCAAATATTTGAAAATCAAATCAAATATCTAAATATCGGAATGATTAGCACAACTTTCAACCAAGAAGACAGTCAGCAACTTTCCATAAGTACTGTGAGTCAGTGTTGGCAATGTAAGTCCCAAAAAGCATTGCTTATCAGCGACAGCATCCCATCAATTTTTCACACATGTACATGTAGATCATGTCATCATTGGGTATAACATGCAGTTCTTGGGCTTGATTTCAAGTAAAGCTCTTCAAATCCACAAACAGGATAAAGAACAGGATGCTGATAATCAACCATTAATATTTTTTGCAAGAACTGAAGAAATCAACAAATAAACAAACAAGCTGGGTTCGAAACCTACATCCTGTAGTTATTATATGGCAACTCATTCTACTGAGATACTGGGGTAACTCGACCACAGCAGATTCAACAATGTTTTGTAACTGCACTCATCATGTAAAGTGGACTGCACTGTAAAACGTACAACGCATATGCATCAACATGTTGGGATGATGTTGCTACATGGCAGTAGAAAAGCAATAACTTGGCAAGTCCTTTAGAATCCACACCTAACAATGATAGAATGAAGGCTGGAGTTAAACTCAGGCTCCAGCCCAAACTCAAGCAACTTTATAGGGAATTTTGCCCTCAATATCTTGGAATTCTCAGCATTCTTGCCAGGAAAATTCCCACGTCTTCTCAAATCCCCCTCCATGCATATCCTCAGCACCTAAACTTTCAGGATGTATGAAGTACCATGTAAAACAAATCCAACGATGGCAAACAGTGTTTCTCTGATTGAAACACAAAGTAAACAAAAAGAACAGAAAAGGAAAGGTGCAATTTACCCTGTCTATGTGATTGCTTTGAACTTTGTTCAAGCTTGTTACGTAAAATCTGTCTCACGTCTTGATCTGCTGATGCACGTGCAATGTTAGGAGGCCCTAATTGCTGAAGATGTAGCTGTTGTTGATGTACATGTAGTTGTTGATGAATCACGCTTCCACTAGGCTGAGTTGGGTCAAACGGTTCCTCTGTTTGTCAGACAAAATGAGCAATCATTTGATTTCTCCCCTATTGTCCTTAGAGCCTGAACACTACCCAAAGCTTTGGGGACATCTTAGCTCATACTCCTGTGCATGCTATCAAACTAATGCAGCTTTTAGTTTTAGACTCAGTCAATCCAAGGCCTATTTAAAGTGCACCTGCACCGGCAAAAAAGAGACAGGCTGGTGGGAAGTTTTTCAACTGGGCTTGTGCAAGTGCCCAACAGACATGCAAAAACTGTACATGCACATTCTACCCACAGATGCTAGCAGAAATTGCTCATGCATGCTCAGTGCATTCCATTTCAAACACACATCAACATCCTTGCCGTGCAAAAAACATGCCATCTCTTGTTCCTGCTCAGAGAGGAAAGCAGCCATACGCACAAAACATGCCACCAAAGTTTTTATATAATATACACAGAGAGAAGTATACTGTGCTGTGCAAACTGTCAGCATTCCATCTTTTTTTAAAGTTCAAGATAAATTTCGAACGGAGTTCTTCATGGGTGTAACAATGAGTTTATTTCAGGGGCTTTCAAATGAATCTTTGCTTGGTTGGTCAAAGGTCACTTTTACAATTAAGTAGGATACCATAAATGCTGACCCTTGACAGTATTTTGTTAAGATCTGTACATTACTTTTTACTTTAATGTCATGTTTCATATACTCAGAGGCAATGCCACGTTGCAACATTTGCGATGATAACTGTTCGTGGCTAATGGCTGCGTCAGTGTACCACATGCTATATTAACCGTTACTCAGCCCCCCTGCTTGTGAATGTAACCGATTGGAATCACTCCACTACAAGGGCACTGGTACACATCACTACCGTGTATAGGCATTGCAAGAACATGTAAACATACTCTCCATGACACTGGCACTGAAAATCCTTGTGGGTTTTACATGGCCTGTGGTGCAAAGTGGTTAGTTGGTAAAGTGGCAGGGCTTGGTTGTGTCCTATCCAGACATGTGGGTGGAATGGCACAACGGGGCAGAATTGACCTCACCTTATCGTCCTTTCAGCCTTTCTCTCTGAGAAGGACTCACAGAAACAAAAATAGCAACTACATTGATCAGTACTTACGTTTGACAGAAGATGGCTCTTTGAAAAATCTATGGAAATGTGGGGCTTTTTTCCGCCTCTTTGCTTCCACACCATCAGCATCTGGAAAAAGTTACAGGAAATATTTAAAACGCTAAACAGATTATGATCTGTGGTTCATGTCTAATATTTCCACCGATGACAGCAATGACTTCCTGCTGTGAAAATGACCCTTTTTAAACCAAATTACTAGTTCACGACAGTCTGACTTTCTGCCTATAGCCCATACTTTTTAGCAGAAGATTCAAGGGAGTCGGGTTGGTGCAACTGTACTTTCCCACTGGATCAGATCCCACCTGGGCTAACGTGCAGATAGGGTCTTTCATTCCCAACCTGATTCTGTGGGTTTTTCATGGAAAATACCCGAAACTTTCTTTGTAGCCTCCTCTATCTAGGTTATTTAAGGCGCCAAGCTACAGTACCTGTATACATACTGTATGGGGAACCCATGGTTTCATTACCGGCCAAGACGTCAAATGAAATGCATACAAATGCTGAAGTGTTTCGAACAGTGAAACGGGACAAGGACTGATGCGTTAGGGCACCCTTTTCTCATTCTATGGTTCTCACATCTTTTTCAACTTGAGGGAGGGTCTGTCAATTGAAAACTAAAAAAGGTTCCAAAAAACCCCAACCTGTTCTCCTCCCATACAGATAACTGACTAAACCAAGGAGCGTGCACAATACGTGTCTATACTTGTCCCTTGTTTTAATATTGTGCCCCATGAGTGTTTTTCCTTCTAGTTGGGAACTAAAAGATCTACTAGTATTCTTTGATTACGCAATAAAATACTTGAATTTTTAAGAACTCAAGAACAATTTATAGAGCTACAGCTAATAAGCGTGACCACGGTGGAGGCCGCCATGATGACAAAACTGCACAGCAGAAATAGATTTATCTTAGTCTCACTGTTACGGCATACTCTTAAACAAGAATGTAGGGTGGTGTGGGAGGTTCCGAGCTTTGCTGTGCTTTCAATGTCCACATTTGTCACAAAATAATTGATTTCATGAGAAAACATGTGGATTTTTTAGTGTGTGATTTTTTAGTGTGATAGACATGTAATAAGTGGGATTATGGTTTTACCCATATCGATAGGAAGAAAATATAACACTTGACTTGAACAAATCAAATGTGAAGGAATGCCGCGGCTACCATGCTGCTGTCAATATCGCAACTCAGCTTGTTCGAGTCAGTGTCCAGAGTGCAGTGTATGATAATCAGTGCACAGCACATGTACACAACACTCCGTTAATGCTGTACACTGCATTGGGTGTGGTACGGTACACACATGTACCGCTCGTTGTGATGTAGGCTTGATGCTGTACCGTGGATTTCGGCTGTCGCTACTTTGATGTTTATGGACTAAATGGTATGGCTCAAGTCCATTTTCAGTGCTATATTTGTACAGGTACTCTTTTTGGCAGGATCTTCATAGCAGGGTCAATAGTGAAAAAGGCTTTTTTTTTCTTAGTTTGGAAGCCAAAATACGGACGGTCAGAAATGAGAACCATGGAATTAAAAACGCGTGCCCTTAAGACTGTGTTTGGACTGGGACTTAAAAAGTTACTGTGACCACTGACACTTTGGACCACTCCAGAACTTTTCTTCAGTAAAAACTTGAAACGGTTTTAATTCAACACGTTTTGACTAATCAACACCCACAAACTCCATGCAAGTTTTACAGAAAAGATTCATACCTTTCAACCCAGATATCTTTCTGGGCGTAGTGTCAAATGTACCCCGTAGAAGCAGATATGGACCATTTCAGGAAGCAAAATTAGAGGCTAGTATACAGTGATGGCACCTTGCTTATGTGCAGCTGGTATGCACATTACATGTACGTGCCTCTTTCAGGATTAGGGCGTTTTGATCTGCCCAGAATAAGGTGACAACGTCGATGCGCCGTCTCCTTGGATTAGAATATACATGTACCCATGAACTCCAGATATCTTGTTGAATCTAACAGATTTCCGTTGATCATATCAACACAAAATCAGAACTTGCCTACACTTGGTTACACTCTTAGTAGGGCCAGTGGCGTGACTAAGGGGGAAGCCTCTGCACCCCTCCCCCTCCAAAATTTGAGAAGGAAAACTCTGCTGACAGTCATTGTTTTGGCTGTCTGCACAATGTACACCTGTTTCACCACTGGGCAGGGTTTAGCGCTGCATACCTATATCAATAGGTCTGTAGATAAATTCCAAGGGATCACTGGTCTCTTTGTCGCTTTTTCTCCTCAGCTTGAATTGGACGGTGATCGGTTGCTGGATGTTTTGATCTTCATAAGGCGGCGTCTTGCACACTATTGCTACCTGACATTGGAAAAAGACGGGAAGAGAATTCACAGGGTCAGGGTCAAAGCTCAAACCTTCCAGAGATAAAGCTGGCAAGTTTGTAAATAGACCTTTATCGTGATGCTGTCATATTTGTCTTGTTCCCTTTAGACCCATCAGCATTGGTAATATTCCACAGATTGATAAATGGGAACAGACTATTTTTCCTTCCAGCCTTAGTTTGGTTACATTGCTTTGAATGGTAGAAAAACCAGACGGCTGCCCAATGGAAGACGTTTATAAGAGACAAAGTTTTGCTAAGTGCAACATCTTTGCAGCCAGCTTTATAAGGCAGTGCTCAGGCAACTTATTCTTTGAAGAAAATTTGTGAAAATGTGCCATTTTTATGATAACGGTGACAACTAGCTGAATCCTGCTTCTTAATACACTGGCCAATACGATTTATCCTTGAACTTTAGCATCCAGCTGAAGTTAGTGGGCTTTTAGATGAAATAATGGTTGGAATAGACAGAGAGCAACAGAATCAACGGCTATCAACAGGGAGCCTTATAGACCCTATTCATGTGGAAGCCATTTTTTATCTTATCCCCCAAATCTGTTGTATGTATTGCAAACTGTCGATTAGGATGTCACCAGACTGTTTTATACTTCCGTGCGTTCCAAGCCTCCCTTTCAATAATTTTTGGAATCTGGCAACATAAAATTCTCTATGTTCAATCATGAATTTGAAATTATTCATCGGGGTAGACAGGTGCAAATTGGTCATGAAATTTGATTTTATTGCTTCATTTGTACTCTCAACATTAAAAAATGAAGAGTTAACCTCGCTTTCAAATTCAATATGGCCAGCCCCGTAAATAAAGTCTATTTTCAACAACTGCTGACCTCCCTTAAGGTACATGTAGCTCACACCATGCATGTACTGTTTATGAATAAACCTTTTCAACATTCTCAACGCATCATGGAATCGAATGACAAAGAAGCAATGTATCTTATGAATGAACCTATGGGAAAGTGAACCAGTCCAACCATACAGCAGCATTTGTTCTCAGAATATTTCTTGGGCAACTGCTCAAGGATTAGTTTCAAGTAAAAAAAAAAGAAGATTTTCCAAAAGCTTACAATTGTAAGAAAGAAAAATAATCGTCCTTGAATGTCTTTTTTAAAACAGCATCAGTCACTATAAGCTGAGAAATGAAAATGATTGGTCCATGCAAGATGAACAAGTTTCGAATCCTTATTCTGATTGGCCAATGCTAGCTCACCAATATTTATGATAAAGGCTCAAGACAGCAACAGGCATTCTTTGAAGGAATTCCCTATATTTTCTGTTTCTGGTAAGCTTCAAAATTTCACTTTTGTAAATATGCCATTCAACATGTTCAATGCAACACTGAGTAAGAACTGGGTGGGTTGATTTTGAGTAAACAAAACGGAAACTAATTAATGCTTCGCAGGTGCACTTCTTCCACAAGATTGTACATATAATGCCTTGCTTGTTCTAATGCTGACAAGCTCTGGCTGACATGGAT